TCGGTTTCGAATGTAATAAAATAAATAATTCTAAAATTTATTAATAATATAGAAAAATATTATTATTATTATTATTATTATTATTATCCCCCATTAAACACGACAAGGCTACTTGTCGGAGTTTTTTAAGTATTTATCCGAGGTTTCTACCCGATTCCTTAGGGACAAATACTCGAATTTCGGTGGTGCCACTTATTATAAGATAGCACCACATCAATTCTTGAAGGTCTTCCTGAGTCGTCTTTTTCGATGGGAACGATTTGTCTCCTGAACTGGGCTCCGGTGACTAACATCTTTGGAGTGGCCAGGGTCAGAAGCAGTGAAATTCACGTTCTCGTCGAGCTGCCTCAGGTCGACAGTAGAACAAGATTTGTTTTTGGTTCTTACTTTGTCTTGTTCTCATTTTTTTTTTTTTTGCTCTTTTTAAGCCAACAGCACGTGGCGTTCTCAAACGGTCACCCATCCAAGTTTGCACCACGCCCGATGCTGCTTAACTTCGGTGATCGTACGGGAACCGGTGTGACCAGCACGCTATGGCCGTTGGCTTTTATTATTATTATTATTATTATTATTATTATTAATCGTTTGTTCGTTTGTTACTTATCGTATATATATATTTGTTAGTCATATTATAATTATTATTAATACATTATTATTATTATTAAAAAAAAAAAACTTATGTAGAAAAATATTTATCGAAAAAAAAAAAAAAAAAAAAAAAACCAAATTAAAATTATTATTATTATTATTTTTTTTTTTTTTTACGGTTGTCGTTTGTCGTATGGCGATTGTTGTTTGTCGTATGGAGGTTGTCGTTTGTCTTAAAAGACAAGACAACTTTCGAGTATTTTCTTAAGGGTTCAAAAAATTACGACAAAATAATTTTTTTTTTTTTTTTTTTGTAATAAACGACCATTTTGATATAATAATAATAATAATAATAATAATAATAATAATAATAATAATTAATAATAATAATAATAATTTAATGATAACAGTTTTTGATTAAAAGTTACGTGTAAAAAAATATAAGTTAAAAAGCAGAAGGAAAAATTGAAAAATTATTGTTTGTTAAAAAATTTCGTTTGTTTTGTTTTGTTTTGGTTGTTGTTGTCGTTGTTATTGTTTGTTGTTATATTTTTTGTTTGAAAAATTTTTATTTATTTCAGAATAATAGTATTATTATTATTATTATTATTATTATTATCATATTATAAAAGTGAGAAATTATTATGTATTGTTATAAAATCATTTTATATATATATATATGTAATGTTTCATTTGAAATTCACAAAAAAAATTTTCTTTTTTGTTTTTCAATAATAATAATAATAATAATAAAAATTGTCACAATTTGTAGATTTGATATCGTCACACCCGCACACCCACCCACCCACACAAAAAAAAACTGTTATTAATATTATTATTATCGTAATATAATAAAACACCAAATTCGTATTTGAAAAAAAATTTATTTATATATATATATATATTTAATATAATAAAATGCTTTTATCGCGGAGTTCTATAATCATTATTGTTGTTGTTGTTGTTGTTGTTGCTTTGTAATAATAATAATAATAATAATAATAATAATAATAATAATATAAAATTAATTAATTTAATTATTAATGAATTTTTTTTTAAATATTTATAAAAAATAATAATAATAATAATAATAATAATTTTGTTTTTTTTTTGTATGCAAAAATTATTAGCAGTAAAATTAAAAAAGCTTGATTAAAATTTATAAAACAATTTATGTATTGAATTCGTTTGTTTTTAGAGGGGGGTGGAAGGGGCGGGGGGTTAATTTTCTTTTTAAAAAATAAAGTATTTTATAAACAATAAAATTAATAATATTAATAATAATTAACATAAATACGATTTTATTTTGTTTTTTCATCCATCCTCTCTCTCTCTCTCTCTCTCTCTCTCAGTCTCTATCCTTTCCTATTTTGTTCGAATTTGACGGGGGGGGGGGGGGGGAAAGCGATTGTGTCGTACAAAAACAATCATAATAATGATAACATAACCCTTTCATGTTTCGTTTAACGGTTTTTTTTTTTAAACAAAAAGGTTAAATGTATTGACATAACTGTATCGTCGACATTCGCACCCATTCGTCCTGTTTTTTTTTGTTAAAACCCATAACCCTGTTTTTTGAAACATTAAAACAAATTTTCGCGGGAAAAAACATTTGAATCATTCATCCCTTACACTATCATCAACCCTTCTGAACTCAAACCTTTTAAACAGTTCTTTAAACAGTTATAAATCGTTCGAAATTGAACCGTTAAAAAACTCAAACAAACAACATAATGTTTAATTTACAAACAAAACAAAATCTCATCTCACGACATAATAATCGAAACGTTTCCTTTTACCTTTTGTCAAATAAATAATAATAATAATAATAATAATAATAATTATAGAAGAAAGAAGAAGAAAAAAAAACCGTTAGAAATAATATTTGTTTATTATTATTATTATTAATCTTACCTTTTTTAATCCGAACGAAAAACTTTCGGCGATTTCTTTTCTTTCTTTTCCTGTGTAATACCTGAAAATAAAAAAAAATTTTTTTAAATTAATTTTTTTTCTTTACCCCTACAAAAAATCGAATCGAATCGAATACAATCGAATCGTATCGTATCGTATCGAATCGAATCTCGATTTGCACGAAATTTTTTAATTAATATTTATTCACGTGCGTGAGACGTGTATTAAAAAAAAAAAATTAAACCGAATAAATTATTATTATTATTATTATTTTATATATTGTACTCAGATGTTATAAAGTTGTTTAAATAAAACTTAAATTACTCGTTTTCAAATATTAACTGTAAACTTATTAATCTTTATGTAGAGAGAAAAAAAAAAAAAAAAAAAAAAAAAAAAAAACGGTTGTTGACGTTGTTGTTTAAATATCAAGTTCTTGGCCGCCAAATATTTTTTTTTTTTTTTTTAAATAAACTAAAACGAGTTCAGTTAAAATCTTGTATCGAAAGACTAACGGTGGTGGTGGGTCGTACCTACAAACAAACAATCGAAACGTTAACACATTTTTTTAAAGTTCAAAGTGATCGATATTAAAATCGATGTCTCGAAAAAAATCGTTACAATAATAATCGTTTGAAATTTTCTTTTTTTTGTTTGTTGTTGTTGTCGCAATTGAAAAATGTATTTAAAAATTATTTTTTTTGTATTGATGAACTGTCTCACGATTTTTGTGAGGTTCGTTACGTCGGCAGAAGATTTTCGACTACCCAAATTTGCCGTACCTGAACGTTATCAATTGAAAATATTAACGGATTTAACGCACGATTTTACTTTTAAAGGACAGGTAAGAAAAAAATTTTTTTTTTTAATTTTTTGGGGGGGGGGGTTTTGTTTCGAGAGAGAAAAAAATTTTTTTTATTTGTCATTCAGGTCATCGTTGATTTCTTCGTGACAAACGAAACGGATAAAATCGTTCTTCATTCGAAAAATTTACACGTTTTAGAAAATCAAACGACTCTGAGAGAAATTTCAAATTCTGATAATGGCGACGCATTTGAAAATTCCATCGTTCGACTTAGGAGAAATTTAAAAAAAAAAAAATTAACGGAAAATGAAAGTCAAAAAAATGACGACGAATTTATTTTAGATCCGACGAGAATTGTATTTCCGGTTAGTAACGAAACAAACGTCAACGAAACTTTTAATAATAACGTTAATCCCAACAGCGTTAATCCGGATAATCAATTATCCAGTAATGCTTCCGTACCTGACGATACCAAAACTCCACAACTTTCCACAACGGTAGAATTTTCCAATGAAAATTTTAACGAAACTCGCGTTGATACCACGAACCACAGTTTGGAAGGAGTCGACGTAAGCCAATCATTGCCTTCTTCGACAGAAGAAACTTTCACCATTAAGAACAATCCAGTGAGTCAATTTTCCATCGTGACGGAACCGCAACAAACGAGTACTCTTTCGACGGTGGAACACGATACCGAAGTACAAAATTCCGTTATCGCGAATGACAAAAATGTTTTCAAACACGAATACAACGACGAATATGACTTTTTAACCCTCAATTTTGGAAAACTTTTAACTCCGGGGAAAAAATACAGGCTGGAATTAAATTACGATGGAGTCTTATCCGATACTCTAACCGGATTTCACAGAGTTCCATACGTTAAAAAATCCTCGCAAAAACCCACGTGAGTTTTTTTAGTATTTCGACTCCATTTTTTTTTTCAAAAATAAATTAATAAAACTTTCGCCATTTTTTTTTTTTTTTTGTGGTCTTCAGGTGGCTCGCGTCGACTGTTTTCGAACCGAACGAAGCGAGGACGGCTTTTCCATGTTTCGACGAACCACATTTGAAAGCGACGTTCGACGTGACGTTGGGTCACGATAAAAAATACACGGCACTTTCCAACATGCCCTTAAAATCAACATCTTCGGTGTGAGTGTTCCAGACAAAGTTCTCGAAACCTTTTTCCGTCGCGCAATAATAAATTTTAAAAATTCAAACTATCCGTTTCAGAGAAGGACGATCGGATTGGCAGTGGAGCACGTTCGAAACCACCCCCAAAATGTCAACTTATCTGGTATCATTTCTCATAAGCGATTTAGAATATTTAACGCCGCGACAAAACAATACCAACTCCGATCGAAACGTCGTCTATCGTTTTTGGTCGCGACACGATGTCCTCTATAAAACGCGATACGCAATGAGAATAGCTCCTCTGATGAAAAACTATTTGGAAAATTTATTCGACGTTCGCGACGTTTTACCCAAACACGATTTCGTTGCTCTCCCGAGCTTCGTAAGCACCGCACTGGAAAATTGGGGATTGTATTCTTTTGCGTGAGTACCACATTTCCAACGTGACGTAATGTTACCACCACTCCGTGACCTAATCGATTCCAATTTGTTTCCAGAGAAAAAAATTTACTTTTCACACCGGGATTCTCATCCCTGTTTAGTAAATATCAAATCACTCAAGTTTTGGGACACGAAATTTCACACATGTGGTTCGGTAATATGGTCACCCCCAAGTGGTGGGATCAAGTGTGGTTGAGCGAAGGATTTTCAAATTTTTTCGAAATCGTAGCTTCCGATCACGTAATTAATTAAACGACAAAAATATTCGCTCCCCTCCTCACCCCCCACCCCCTACTTTTTTTTAAATAAACTTTTTTTTTTTTTTAGATTCAACCTCAATGGGATCTTAAAACGATATCTGTTATATTTGCTTACCTTAAAGTATTTTCCCTCGATGCTTTACATTCAACTCACGCGTTGGTTCCAACGTTTGATGATCCAACCGATGTCGGCGACATATTCGATTCCATAAGTTATCAGAAAGGTACATATGTACCTTGTCCTGAAAATAAAAAAAAAAACAAAATGGGTTAATTTTAAAGTTTGATTTTCTAAACGTTATTGTCTGGTTTTAGGATTTTACCTCGTGAGAATGTTAAATTACACTTTGGGACAAGAATCGTTCATGAACGGCGTACGAAAATATTTAAAAGCACACATGCTTTCCAACGCTGATGAAAATGATTTGTGGGAAGCATTGAACGAATTTGCACATAATGAAAACAGCATACCCTCCGATCTTCATTTAAAAGACGTCATGTTTAACTGGACCCGAAAACCAGGGTATCCAATATTGAAACTGGAAAGAGATTACACAAATAATACGGCAACTGTTTCGCAGGTACATTAATACAAAATTAAATCAACATTAAAACATTACCATAATGTTTTCCGTTAAGTTTTTTTTTTCTGCATCCACGTTTTCAGAAACGTTTTGTTAGATTTAATGGCGATTACGAATTCAGAGATAATTCAAATGATTTTGAAAACATGGAAACGAAATGGTGGGTTCCGTTAACGTACACGACAGGATCGGACATGAATTTCCGAGATGTCAAACCGAAAGTTTGGTTGAATCCAACCGACGAGTTTATAACACTCGAAGACATGCCCAGTAAAGATGATTTCGTTTTGATGAATTTGGATGCTGCTGGTAACAAAAAATTTTTTCTGGAAAAAATAAATAATTAAACGCCTTTCATTATTTTTATTAAAAAATTGTTTGCGTTTTGAAAATTAGGATTGTATCGAATTAATTACGACGATCGAAATTGGGGTTTGCTCATATCATATTTACTAAATGAAAATTTTGAAGATGTTTCCCTATTGAACCGAGTTCAAATTTTGGATGATTTGATGGATTTGGCACGATCCGGAGATCAATCTTACGAAAGAGCTTTACAAGCCACGAGTTATCTATCGCGAGAAAAACATTTTCTTCCCTGGAAAGCTGCCTTCAGTAATTTCGATTTCATATTGAGAATGTTTCGATCTAAAGACAGCAGCAGAGCTTTGAAGGTAAAAGAAAGAAAACCCCCCAACAGCAATCACATTCCCCTAAACCATCATTAATTAATTTTTTTCTCTTCTTTTCGTCAATAGAAATATTTAAAAAATTTAGTGAGCGCAAGATTCGACGAATTAGGTTTTGAAATGAAAAAAAATGAAAGTTTTTCAGACAGCATGAATAGAAAACAAATAGTCAAATGGGCTTGCAAAACCGGTCATCGAGAATGTACTAGAAAAAGTGTCAATTTATTTAGAAAATGGATGGAAGAAAAAAAACCAGACGAACGAAATCCGTAATTACGTTTTCTTATCACTTCTTCCTACTATCATTATTATCATTTATTTTAACGGAGGGAGGTGGGGGGGGAATTTTTTTACAGCGTACCGAGTAATTTAAGAAACGTCGTTTACTGTTCAGCCATCGAAAACGGTTCGAACAAAGAATGGCAATTTTTATGGCAAAGATATTTAAATTACGCTCTCACCGATAAAACGGCAATTCTCAACGGTTTGGGATGTTCGAGAAGTGCAAGAACATTAAAAAAGTTTGTATTTTTTTTTCAATAATTATTATTATTAATCAATAATAATAATAATAACGATTTATAAATAATCAATTAATCAATCAATCAATCAGGTATCTTAATTGGTCGATAAAAGAAAGTTCGGGAATAAGAAAACAAGATTCGCCGATCGTTTTTAAATCCGTTGCCAAAAACGATGCCGGTTTTCAAATAGCTAAAAAATTTTTAAAAGAAAAAATGGGAGAAGTTCGTACCTAGTAAGTAAACCTAACACAATTCACCAACAAAAAAAAACTCAAATAATAATAATAATAATAATAATAATTTTATATTAAAGTTTGGGAAATAATCCATTCTTCCTACCGCAAATGATTGACACGTTGTCATCTAAAATGAATCAAGTAAATGACCTCAAAGATGTAAGTACGGATAAACCGACAAAAAAATTTACGTAACCGTGTTTGTTGAACAAAACAACAACAACAACAACCAAATGAACAAATCGAATAATAATTTTTTTTTTTTGTAACTTATAGTTGGAAGATATTGAAATGGAAAGCACGACAAATTACAGATCAGTTCCGAGATGTTTTAAACAAGCATTCGAGAGGATAAGATTTAACATCGAATGGACCGATAAAAATTATCAAACAATAACGGATTGGTTAAAAAAACAAAAATTTTAAAACTTAAACAAAAAACCATCATTATTTATTTATTTATTTATTTATTATTAAATTCTATTTATTATTATTATTATTATTCTTATTATTATTTAAATAATTTAACGAATTTTTCCTATTAAAAAAATTCTTATTTATTATATTAATCGATTTATAAATATTGTGACGTCATTAAATAAAAAAATATTATAATCGAGTTCACGAGGTAAACTTTTTTTTATAACCAGTGTTAACGTCGATTAACGTATTTTATTTTAAAACGGTAAAAAAATATTTCATTTCAAGTTTTTAAATACGACAAACAACAAACAACAAACAAACAACAACCGAGATTACGATGAGATGTGAGTATACGTAAAAAAAAAAAAAAAAAATTTGCAAACGACCTAACCTTGTTTGTTACCTTTTGATGAAGGTATATTGGCACCGTTTAAAACCTCAATACATAAATATGAGTGCGTGCGTGTGCGTGTGCGTGCGTGAGTGCGTGTGGGTTTTTTTCTTCTTCTTCTTCTCTTTAAACAAGGACTTTAACGTTTTCAAGACTTTGCGACGAGGGAAAAAGCGCTAAGATGAGAACAAAGGTTCGTCGTTGGTGGTACACGGAAAATTTTTTGCAAATCTCGATGGGAAAACAAAGTTTAATTGGTTATTAAATATTAAAATTCATTTTGGGTGTTAAAAAAAAAAAGGTTTTTCGTTTATCAATACAACAAATATTATTATTATTATTATTATTATTAAACAACAAACAACAAAGTTTTAATTAACGTAACTTGTTAATTTTTTTTTCGCACTCAATTTAAAAAACAAAAACTACGCGCACGTGCAAACACACGCGAGGGACATCCACCTTAATGTTACGATGATAATGATAATAAAATATTAAAGAGTAAAAAAATTATTATGTCGGGGAACCCCCTTACGTTTAAGACTCGGTCGCGAAATGGAAATGAAAACTACTTGATATTGAAAATTTAGTGACAGTCTAAAGTTGTTCGTGTTAGCGTCAGAGTGTTGTGTATGTATGGTGGTATGTAAAATTTCTTTTTTCTTTCTTTTTCTTTTTCTTTTTCCTTTACAATCAAGTCGATAACCTTTTTGATTCACACGAACATACTTTTATTATTATTATTATTATTAATTTTACACGAGTTTGTTTTTTTTTTTTTTTTTTTTTTTTTTATTTTATACGGATTTATAATAAAATTCCTTATTTCGTTTAACGTTTCCATTTTTTTTTTTTTTTTTTATGTAAAATGAATGATTTTTGACAAAAATAATAATAATAATAATAATAATAATAATAATAAAAACTAATAATTAATTAGTAGTTAATTAGTTGTTGTAACAATAATGTGTTTGTTTTGTGTTTGTTGTATAAAACCACTAATTAAAAAAAAATTAATTATTTTGCTTAACGTTTTGTTTAAGGAAAAAAAAAAAAACATCATTAATCGTCGTATTTAAAATAAGTAATAATTTTGTTCAATTAAGAAAAAAATTATTATTATTATTATTATTACTTTTAAAAAAAAAAAAAAAATTCAATCGATCCATCTAGAAAATTATTGATTTTTTAAAATCCGGTTTTCCTAACCCCCCGCCCCGCCTCCTCCCCCCATTAAAAAAAAAAATAAGAAAATTAACGTGGAAATAAAAAAAAATTTAATTTCGATCGATTAATTAATTTATTCGTTTTTTTTTTTAATTTTTGATTACGTCACGATTTTTTTTTTTGGCAAAATAACCTTTGACCTTACAGACAAAAAAAATAAATAAATAAGATTGACAGGGGGAAAATATATTTAAAAAAAAAAAAAAAATAATAATAATAATAATAATAATAATAATAATAATAGTTCACTTAAACTTTTTTTTTTTTTTTTTTTT